CAAAGTTGAAACACAGAATATAATTTGTAATTCAAATCTTACATTTATATCACACATTTTTATGATGTGATTTTTTTATGATGTCTTTCATATGTGTCTTTGTTTATATGGCGGCTGGGGGCACCTTTCTCAATTTTCTATAATGCAAATGCTTACAAATTCCTTATCAATTTTATGTAACTCAAAGAAAAATGCTGTCATTTTTACTGCTCAAATGTTATATGAGAGATTTGTATTTTTTAGTGAACTGACAAACGTAAACTTTATGGTCTTTGAATTAAAAGCATAAGTTTGAATTCAATTCATTTACTTACTCTTTTCAGAATGTCCTTAACTGAGACGGTTCTCTTAGTTGGATTAAGGAGGATTTCGTCAACTGTTTGAGTGGGGGATGCAGAAACCTGTCAGGGATGTTTTGGTTCACTTCAAACTTGCCACCCTGGAAGACCTGAAATATAAGAATTTACAGGTTTATATGTATGATATATATTATTGATATGCTAAGTGTGTGTCGCTTTTTCTTAGCTTACCTGAGCTGAAAGTTTTAAGTGAGCTTTTCAGATACCCATTGTCTGTGAACTTTTCACGTTTTCAACTTTTTCTGAAGAACCACAGGGCCAATTTTAACCAAACTTTTATCAAAGTATCGTTGGGTAATGGGAAATTAAAGTTATTTAAAATCAAGGGCCAAGTCCCCTTACAAGGGGATATAATAAAAAAAATTAAAAAATAGGGTGGGTCATTAAAAAAATCCCAAGAACCACAGGGCCAGAAAAGCGGAAACATGTTGAAGCATATCGAGGTTACTGTAAATTCTAAATTGTTCATATGATGACCTCCTCGGATAGGGCAGGGCCACAACAGGTTATCTAAGTTTTTCATAGAAATATCAAATATCATCTTCTCAAAAAACCACTGGGCCAGAAAAGCTGAAACTTATGTGGAAGCATCCAAGGGTATTGTAAATTCTAAATAAAAAGTAAATTATTGAAATCTTGACCCCCCCCCCTTCCCAAGTTTCTCAGATGAGCAATTTGGAACATAGGCCTCTTTTTGACACATTAGTACCTGTAAGCTCATGTTGAGTGACTTTGTAAAATTTAAACAATTTTATATTAGAGTCACTTTTAGTGTTGGACTTCAAATATTTAAACCTGAATTTATGATAATTTTCCAAGCATTTGTAAACATAGTCTGGGAATCTGACAAAAATTTGGCATTTCATTTTTTCCACCAGATTTGATATATAGAAATAGATATGAAAGGTTTATTGAATTTTTATTAATCATAAGAACTTGATTAAGAAAAGAATGTAAATGAAACTTTACACTTATGATATAAGTAGGGCTAAGGGGCTTTATTAAGCACCCCACCCCCATTTATTTTGCAAAGATAGACATATAGGCTTTGAAGAATGGGGTTTACCTTATTTTTTGGTTTAGCCCCTTTTTACAAATTGCTTCCGACACACGTGTCTAAAATGCTATGCTTTATCCTTTACTGTAGATACATGATGTAGAATATTGAAGTGTTAAGTAATTTTTTTCAGGGTTAGCTGGAGAAAGAAATCTATCAGTAACTTACCCTGGAAGTATCATACAGACGTATTGTATCGCCCACAGATGCCCTCTTGCACAGATAGAAGTTGTTAACTTTGAACATTTCTCTGAATTTGAGTGGGAAGGTTAGTAATTTGATACTTTCATTGTGAAACACGAAGCACAAAGCAAACACTCTCCTAGATTGAATTTTTCCAATCAAATATATTTTCACATCTAATCCTTTTGTATTCATGATTTCTGAGGATATATCCAAATTGAAACATGTATGATATATTCCTCGCCTCAATTCCGTGTTTTCCCATATTACCCTATAAAAATAAATTTTTATATGTTTACATGTATGTGCTTCACAAAAATAAAAAAAACTTGTGCCGATATAATATAATCTCTTCTAAAACCCTGTAATACTTTCTTCAATTGCAATGTACACATGTATGTGTACAGCTGAAATAAACAAAGTCTATGACTAACTTCTGTCACTAAATACAATTTTTAAAGCATTTATTATAGGTGTAGAAGGAAAACATATATAATTTATAATTGGATCATCAATTTAGACCCCCGTATAACTTGTCAAATGTTCCAATTACTGAGCTAAGCCTACCCAGACCTACAGCCAGTCATGATAGTCCATAAAAATAGACGACAATAACAGAAATATTCATTGACCCTATAATAAATCATATACATCTTTTTGTTATTGCCTTGCTTAAAGACTATTTTTGGCTTTTCTGCTGCCTTGAAGCTTCAAAATGGATGCATGCATACATGCATGTACAAAATTGATACAAAATCGAACAGGCTATTTATATTTTGATCCAGGTTTAAATTGTTTTAGATTTTAAATTTAAGTCTAGAAGAATAACTTTTTTTAAAATTACAATAAGCTTTCATGCTTAATCAAAATCCAAGATTACCTTTGTTCCTTGACCAAAATTTTCCACAGGGATGATAGAGAATGAAAATACCTCGAGACATTTTTTTCATTTTTTCAAAATTCACTTCCGGTCGTCAGTTATGTCCGATTTCCGCTTTTTTCAAAAATATTAAATCCGAGTGAGATCTCAGAAACGGTAAGAGATTAAGGCACCAAACTTACAGGGATGATAGATCTTGATAAGAATGCAAATCCAATTGGGTTAAAATCGTCCGCCGTCACTTCCGGTCGTCACAGGAAGTGTTCTTAAAGAGCGGGTCCTGGCACTTTTTTACTATATTGACACTGCATAAGCTTTTACCTGCATATGTTCTAATATTTAGACATACATCTTATAAAGAGCTAAAATAAAAGACTTTGATCTGTAGAATACACGTTATTTTTCATAAAAAATAAATTTCTGAACGATAAAAACACATTATTTCTTGCCAAACTTACCTTGCAATTCTCCTTTCTACGGAGATTGCCGAGCGAACGCGAGATTTTATGAGAGTACACGAGACTTTATCAGTGTGACGTCACATCAAGAACACAACATGTCTGCGGACGACTCTTTTAACAGTGACAGCGACAATTCATTACCGGAGCCGATTAACGAAATAGATAGCGGAGAGGAGAATGATCAGAGAGATTGTATGGGGGTTCGACCTTATCGCTTTGAGCCTCGGAGAGCTGACAGTAACTCTGGCGTCGGAAACAGCGCGGCTCCAGATTCCAACCCAGTCAGAGAGGAGGAGGATCTTTCGTGGTTTGTGTTTATAGTGACTAAGTACTTGTTAAAATAATGTCTTATTAATCGCAAATAAATCAATAGTACCATAAACTTGATGTTATAATTCATTTCAAAACATGACATTAACATCTTTGTTCGTTTTAATCCGAGATTTCGTAGATGTGGTAAACTACCCCTCGCCCCGCCCCTTTCCATATTTCACGCCGAGATTACTTTTGAGAAATTATAGGTTAGACACTCGACCTTTAGCGTCAAGTAATTTATACTTGTGAACCTACCTTATATACACGATTAAGAATTATAGACTGACACAGGCGCTTGGTTTAGGAATAGGAGGGTATATTTTGTGTACATTATGTGGGGTCTTGTGTGTGTCTTGATAACTTCAATCTTAGAATAAAGAGCAAAAATCGCTGAAATTGGCAAATTTAAAAAATATAATAATACACATAGTAATATAATATTTATATAAACAGTGCTAATTTCAGCATTTTTTTTTAAAATTTTAACAATAGTATTTAGACACCCTAGAAACCACCCCATGAAATCAAGCGCTTATGAGTATTACAAGGACATAGAAAACCATAAAGGGAATGCATCAATCACCATACAAATTATTTTCACTTATATTATTTTGCTTAGAAAGATGCAAAAACTCAGTGTATCTATATCTACTTTGACAAAAGTATGTTTATTAAAGTGTACAGAATTCCAGTCTTCGACCAAAATAAATGTGTTGTGTCAAAATGCAAGACTCAACAGATTGGAGGATGCAAGACATCACGTGTCTTATGGTAACTTCACAGGATGATCCCTCAGTCAGCAATAAATTATTATTGTTGTAATCAAAATGATCCATAATCACCAGACTTAAATTCAAACTTTCCTTTGTAACAAGTAGTACCGGGTAAACATTCAACAATTTCTTAAAACTATTTCATCCCTAAAACTCTTCTCCAAATATGGCAATAAATAATTAGTATCTATGCATTTTAGGTGTACATGTGGTACATGTCAACCTATTGAAGGTCCAGACAACAGGTTTTGCTGTCAAGAATGTGACAAAACAAAAGCTAAGATAAATGAAGGAAATGAGCTGACCAAGAAAGATTTTATTTGCATAACATCACATCCTGGTTTTCAAAGTGTTTGTTTGGATCCATGGGTTTTAGAAACAGCATATTATGCTTACAGACAAGATTGGGGAAGGATACAAAAACCCCAGCATCAGTGAGTGCCTTAATAAATAAAACCTTGCATAAAATACAAATCATTAAACAAAAAAATAAACATTCATCCACATTTAAATATCCAACACATTTTATGTATATTAAGCACAATCTTTACAAAAATGTGCATTATTTTAGGAAGTTTAGATATGTGGCTTATCGTCAATTAGTAAGATGGTGTTGGGGTTTCCTGGGAAAGAACAACCGTACTCCTTTACCAGCCTGTGTAATGTCAAGCATTAGAAATGCATTTCCTGCAAATGATGGACAATACAAAAACTTTGAGTGGCCAAATAACTAGAAACCTAGGTAAGCTCATTCCAACAATAAAAAAAAATGCCGAATGTAGCATTTCTCAACAAACCGTTCTTACAAATTGTCAGACCTTAGAGGCAATAAAATAAGTACATACTGGTTTTGGTAATCAACAACAAGATGTTTGTGCATTCTGCTAAAAAGGCTTCTATGGAGTTAATTATGGTATACATTTACAATTTTATGTGGTTGTAACAATCAAATTACAGAGCACAGTATATTGACACAAATAGATGTATAAAGTGTCATCATCTGTTATATCTGGACACGAACATCTCCACAGCCTCTGCCTTGTCCGGTTGATCTGCATTTGCGGATAGAAAATTAGGTACCCTAGCACGTAGATTATCGATGGAATCTCGTAGTTGGCTTGGCCCTTGGATATATCGATCAACCAACTCTTGTTGGAGGTGCATGGCATAATCTACAATACAAAGTTTTTCAACTTACTGTCTCCTTCAATAACGATTTAATTTTAAAAAATCAGGTGATATAGAAGATTAACACAATGACTGTTTTTATATGAAAAAAATAACGTTTAACACATGAATATTTCAAGATCAACTAAAGTTTCATTAATATGATCCCATACCATAAGTAGGCTTAGTTTTGTCAGGGCGTACAACAGCTTGTCCTTTCCTTCCTTTTGGGTACCTGATCGTGAAGCATGGTTCTCCTTGTCTGGTGAACATTTGGTCACGTTCCGAATTCTCATTATTATGGAGTCCAGCCAAGTAGAGTCTGGTTATTTATAAAAAAAAAAAAATCACAAATTAATTAAAGCATATAGTGTCTTTTTTGGTCAATGATCAGCAATTCAGAATATTAGAAAGTGCCAGTTATTTTTGAAACTGTAATATTCATCATACGGCCACCTCAGTGTTAGAATGTATTATAGCATTTCACTCACCGACATAACATTCCAAGATAAGAAAAGGCTGTATTCTTGGGAGCAAAATGGAGAATCAAGCTATGAAATGCCTCCAACGAAGAAGTCTGCTCCTGACTGGAAAGTCTTGATATGTCTTTTAGGAGGGTCTTGTTTAAAAGAATCTTTTCCAATTGCTCAAAGGCTTTGCTTGCTAAAAATAAGAAAGAAATAATATACATAAATATAAATTACATTTGTAATGTATTCTGGATGACTGAAATTTTTTACAGAATGATTAAAATATGAATAATTTGTTGTATTTGAAAAGGCATAAAAAATCATACTAGGATTAAGCCACTCTATTTCCCGCTCGTCATCTTCTTCCAGGGGATCATGAAGACATCTTCGGAAAAGAGCATTTGGGTGGTTGTTGTGGATGTTCTGCAAATGCTGTATGACCGACTCCCACTTGGCAACAATCATATCCCCGTTGTTATCTGGTGTAGAACCTGCAGACCAATACATATGATTGGTGATGGACTGCTTCCATTTACCAACAATTTCACAATCCTTGACCTTGGCTAAAGCATCGAGTTTCTTTCCTGTGCCTACAAAATTATTTTATTCATGTGTTCAACTCATCAGAAATTTGTTTAAAATATATATATTCTTGTAAATATTTATACTACTTGAATTTCTAATATAATTTAAATATATCCATACTGTTCACCTCGTTTATTCTTCATTTATTAGTAGATACCTTTGGCAACATGCCAGATGTCATAGAAGTGGTTTGTTCCATCAAGATTTTCTTTTATCCACTTGTTATTCTGTATGTGTCTGTCTGTTATAAGGGTGTCTAACTGCAACCCCTCATCCTTCAGAAATCTTACACTTCTCTTTAATCCTTCATGCTCACACCATGAACTATTTGGAACTTCATTACTCTGAAGAAAAAATAGAACAGGAATCATACATGTATTCTTAAACACCTTCTACAAAATGTTCTGTCTAAATGTATCATGAATTGATGAATAATGAAGAAAGCATGATTTTGTTTTTACATAAGAAAAACTAGATGCTGTCATGAGACAGTAATACCCGCACTAAGGTGTTTGCCTCTAAATACACGCTCCTACATATTGGGCGACTTTCCAAGGAAATAGTCAAAATAATTCTATAATTTACATTAATCAAATTGATTATGAAATTCTCAGACCCTGTGACCTATAACTCAGAACGTCTTATATCTATTTTACACATGCTTAATTCATTATATACCAGTCTGAATTTTATTAATGATGTAAATTCATGCACGGATCTGTCGGGGGGGGGGGGGGCGATTTACAAGGTTAAAAATGTATACACTAAAACAAGGAAAAAGTTACAATGGACCCCCCTTGGAAAATGCAGATCCCCCCCCCCTGGTAAACACGAATATGTGTAAAATAGGTATGAAAAGTTAAACATTTGCGGCAATAGAAGTCACCACTACCCCCACCCCACCTTCACGATATTGGTTTTTGACGTTAGGGTGAGATTTACTTTAGGTTTTTTTTAGTGTCAATTTTTGGGATAGGATTTTTTTTTGTCTTAGGTGGCCCCCCCCCCCCCCCCCCTGGAAAAAAATTCTGGATCCGCGTCTGAAATTAGATTGTGATATATGTTTTGCTCATAATAGGACCTTTTTAAATTTACTATCGTTTGTAATTAATGAATTAATTTATAATTTGTTCTTGTACTATACATGTGAACAGGTAAATTTCTACATTACATCACGTTGCGTCACCCATTATGATATTTATAGATTAAACACCATTTGGCACACCTCGGCCGATTCCCACTTCATCTGATAAGGTGGCGGAATCGATGAAAGTTCGCCAAAATGGCACATGGTTGCAGTCTAGTGTGCATTGGATTAATTCATTTTGTGTTTTAATTGGATTTATATTTCATGAAGTTTACGAGACACAGGGGGTCGGTAAGTAGAAGTCAACGATTAGGTTAAAGTTTAGAAAGGGTCAAAGATCATCCCATGCCACACTAGACGAATTTCATATTGTGAAGTTATCTCCCGTTGTCGATGTGACATTCAGTTACTGCCAATAGTGGTGCGGATCCAGAATTTTTTTCGGGAGTAGGGAGGGGGGTTCACATCTCATTTAAAAAATTCCAGCCCAGAATTTCGTGACAAGCAGGAGAAAAAAAATGAAAACAAATAAAAAAACAATGATAGTGAGGTCAATGTTTTCTAAGTTTTTAGGGAGAGGATGTCAAGAGTCATTTTTTACTTGCTACAGTATATGTAGTCTTGTTTAAATAACAAAGCAAATGCCAGATGGGGGGATTCCAATCTTCCTACCCACTTCCTGTCCCTGAAATAACAATCTATTTTGTGATTCCAGTTTAATAGTATATTTTTTTTCCATACATATTTTGTTTCTTGTGTTTATAGTATGTCTGTCTATAAGTCTGCAAAAATTAAATCCTAGCTAGCTTGCCAATAAGTTTTAAGTGGGATGGGCTATACATATAGCTTCCACATTTTATAGGTTTATTTCTTGTGACAATTTAATAAGACCTTTTATTTGGGTACCATTAATTTTTACCTCTGATCGCTTGACATGGGATACACATTTTTAGCTCACCTGAGCCGAAGGCTCAAGTGAGCTTTTCTGATCACATTGTGTCCGTCGTCCGTCCGTCCGTCCGTCTGTCTGTCCGTCCGTAAACTTTTCACATTTTCGACTTCTTCTCAAGAACCACTGGGCCAATTTTGACCAAACTTGGTACAAAGCATCCTTGGGTAAAGGGGAATTTAAATTGTTAAAATGAAGGGACATATCCCCTCGCAAGGGGAGATAATCAAGAAAATACAAAAATAGGGTGGGGTCATTAAAAAATCTTCTTCTCAAGAACCACTAGGCCAGAAAAGCTGAAACTTATGTGGAAGCATCCTGGGGTAGTGTATATTCTAAATTGTTCAAATCATGAACCCCGGGGATTGGGCGGGGCCACAATGGGGAATCAAAGTTTTACATAGAAATATATAGGAAAAATCTTTGAAAATCTTCTTCTCAAGAACAACTGTGCCTGAAATGCTGAAACTTATGTGGAAATATCCTGGGGTAGTGTAGAGTCTAAATTGTTCAAATCATGACCCCCGGGGATCAGGCGGGACCACAATGGGGAATCAAAGTTTTACATAGAAATATATAGGAAAAATCTTTGAAAATCTTCTTCTTAAGAACCACTGTGCGTGAAATGCTGAAACTTATGTGGAAGCATTCTGGGGTAGTGTAGATTCTAAATTGTTCAAATCATGACCCCCGGGGATCAGGCGGGGCCACAATGGGGAATCAAAGTTTACATAGAAATATATAGGAAAAATCTTTGAAAATCTTCTTCTCAAGAACCACTGTGCCAGAAAAGCTGAAACTTATATGGAAGCATCCTGGGGTAGTGTAGATTTTAAATTGTACAAATCATGACCCCTGGGGGTGGGCGGGGCCACAATGGGGAATCAAAGTTTTACATAGGAATATATAGGAAAAAGCTTTGAAAATCTTAATAAAAACTGTGCCAGAAAAGCTGAAACTTAAGTAGAGAATGGTCAAAGCTTCTCAGGTGAGCGATGTGGCCCATGGGCCTCTTGTTACAAGAAAAATATCAAACTTTAAACTCTGCCTAATTTTTGATCAGTAGGTGCTAAGGCTTTCATACTTATCATGACATATTGTATTCATTGTGAACTGTCAACAGGTATAAATATGTATGACCTTGACCCTAGAGTTTGAACCACTTAAAAAAAAAAATTAACCTTGGCAATTAACTTTTGAACAGGAATTACTAGAGATTTGTTTATTTAACATGTGCATTCCTTGTGACAAGACTTTCTTCTGATACTAACAATTTGAACCCTTGACCTTTGAGTTTGACATATATTTGAGAAACTTCAACCTTCGCCATAGGCTTCCATACTGGGACATCAGTGTTTCACAAACACATCTTATCTTCATTATTATTTGGTGGTGTCTCCATATGAGGGAAGATGTACTCACAACAAACAAATTACTAAAGAAAATATAAAACATAAATATGTTGGTCATGCATATCTCTGCAGAAAAAAAAACAGCTTTTCAAATACTCCAACCATATTGTAACCCTTTCAAAACACTCATTTGAGCTTTTTTTGTTTTCTTAGCATATAATGTCTGTCATGACGTGTTGTCCATCTGTTTGTCTGAAAACTTTTTACATTTTTAACTTCTCTAGAACCACTGGGCCAATTTTACCCAATTCATATAGAAATATGTACATTTGTATGTCAGACTCAGTCCATCTGTCTCAAAAAAATTAATCTTGGTTATCACGGTCATATCTACTGAATGAGAAGAGACATTCATATTAAACTTATTATTAGTATATTTACCTGTGAGAATGGCATGGTTATCATTTTTTTACATGTGACCTAGAAGTTTGACCAACTTGCAAAAAAATTAAGTTGTTATAAATTCATCATTATGAAAAAGAAAAGTTAGGGCATTCATATCATAATGCATGTTTATTATTACCTGTGATAAGACCTTTCCAAATACTTTTACACTGTGACCTTGACCTTGAAGCGATCAAGCCTAACCTACTTTTCAAAAATGTTGCATTTGCTTATAACTTTTGATTGAGATGAGATATGACTCTCACATTTGACATGTACATAAATTAATCATAAGAATTCAAGGTGTTTCCATGCATGCAATGTTTTTTTTATGCGCCGGAATTTTTTCGGGGCGCATATTGTTTTTGTCCTGTCTTTTGTCTGTTTATCTGTTGTCAAGTTTAACCTTCGCCAAAACTTTTGAACCGTAAGAGATAGAAACTTCATATTTGGTATGTATTTTACTGATGACTCTCTTTCAAATGACATCAAGGTCAATGACCTTTTGACCTTGACCTGTGACATTTTTGTATGCTAAAAATAGGTTTTTCATGTACCTTCGACATGACTTTTGAACCATAGGAGATAGGGACTTCATATTTGGTATGCATACTTCACTAAAGAAGTTCTTTCAAACAACACCAAGGTCAATGACCATGTGACCTTTATACTAAAAATGGCTTTTTCCACTTTTTGTCGTAACCTTTGAACCATAGGAGATAGAGACTTCATATTTGGTATGCATACTGCACTGATAAAGTTCCTTCAAATGAGATGAAGGTCAATGACCTTGTGACCTTGACTGTGACCTATATGCTAAAAATAGCTTTTTTCCACTTTTGCCATAACTTTTGAACCATAAGAGATAGGGACTTCATATTTAGTATGCATACTCCACTAATAAAGTTCTTTCAATCAACACCAAGGTCAATGACCATGTAATCTTAACTGTGACCTTCATACTGAAAATAGCTTTTTCTACTTTTTACCATAAGTTTTGAACCATAGGAGATAACAACTTCATATTTAGTATGCATACCCCACTAATAAAGTTCTTACAAACAACACCAAGGTCAATGACCTTGTGACCTTGACTGTGACCTATATGCTAAAAATAGCTTTTCGTACTTTGTTGACACGGGGCGCATAGTATTTCACAAACAGATCTTGTTACCCCTTGACATTGATGTTTTACATAATTTTCAAAATATTTAACCCTCCTAAAAGATTATTAAGCTTCTGAGTAACATTAAGGAAGACTTCAAGTAAGACAGGGCTTTTTGCACAAAAAACATCATTTTCCAACCCACATTTGACCCCCCGGGGCAAAATCTAAATTCCAAAACCTTACTGCATATCTACATGACCCCACCAACCATCTCCCAAAAGATGATTAGGCTGCTGAGTAAAATGTAAGAGGAGTTCAGGGAAAACACGGCTCTTTGTATGAAAAACATAATTTTTCAACCCCCAATTGACCCACCTGGGCAACATCAAAATTCCGAAACCTTA